CCTCGTCGAGGAGTTCCTGTAGCAGTCATCAAAGTACACTTTCAAGTCACTCTATCAAATCCTAAGGCAAGGTCATCATAACTAACAAAACGAGCCCAAACTCGGCGCATCTAGATCTCCTCGTCAAGAAGTTCCAGTGGAAACCTTCAAAGTACACTTTCAAGTCACTCTATCAAGTCCGGATGTCAGGTCTCATCATAACTCTCAAAACGAGGCCAAGCATCAAAATCTTACACCAGCTTAAAATGAATCCTTTGCGGAGTAGAACTAACCAAAAACTCTGACATCACTGTTTTTTCCTCTACTTCGTTATCACTATTTTATTTTATTATATGATTCCATTTTAAATACCGATGTGATGATGTCATAGCCATTCAGTTTTTCATTACTAGTTCTAATCTAATCTACATGGAGTGAGTATAAGGTCACTAGTATCTTAATGCATGACAGTGCAAAAATTGTGTTTTGTTTACTTGGCGATGTTAGTAACAAAATTTTACATGTCAGAATTCCGTATGGAACAAGTGGTTGTTGTCCTGCAAATTATTGGTTTAGGTAAGGATGGATAAGAGAAAATTCTAGAATGGAACTAATCGAACCTAAGACGTTTTATATTCAAGTATACTCCCAAATCATTCTCGATAGGATCTATCAAATGATGTATGGAAACTTCGTGATAACAACTAAAAATATAAAACAGCGGCTGCCAAGCGTGGCAACTACGGCAAATGTTTCACTTATGAAGCAATCCATGAGGGAGGTTCATGTTCAGCAGTAGACTTGTGATAGGATGTAATGAATAAATGAACAACTATACTTTTTCATTTGTCGTAAGTAATAACTTAAATTTTAGGTACAATTCCGTAGCCGACTGCACGTAGCAGCAGCAGGCGACGTGTCGTCGCGACACTTCTGGTTTCTATGTAGTTCTATGAAATACCTTTCGTAGCTACTAAAGTCGTTTGCCGCTACGGGCCGAACGGTAGACGACACTGTAGCCCGACCGCAGATCAGTAGTGCTGCCAACGCCCGAGCGACACGTTGAATTTTTCTCAAAAAATGAGTTTATCCGATTACGAGGAAGAGAAACTGATAAACCAGGTGGCGCAATATCCCGCACTGTACGATGCATCTCACAATAATTATTTAAACAGTGTGATAAAAGATAATATTTGAAAAAATATACATAAGGATTTAAATAAAAGCGGTATCTATTTTGTTTACATAAATAGAGAACCCACAGAACATTCGAAACAGATTGGAACACGGGCTACTGCCGCCTGCAGTTGGGTTCGCAATCATGACTGCAGCGACATGACGCCACAACATGTCGCAGCGACATCTCGCGACGACACGTCGCCTGCTGCTGCTGCGTTCAATCGGCTACATAATTGTTCCTTAATACGAGGGTGACAAGGGGAAAGAGGCTGTACGCGTCGGTAGAAAATACTTGAAATCTGAAACTGTACACGTGTTCCCAGGGTAGTGCTAAACGAGCAGCACCAACTCCGGTGATAGGTTTCGGCCGCTGGCTTTTCGGTTACCACCCACCTATGCAAAGTCTTGCCGTCAAATGACATTGTCGTATTCCGGCATGATGTTCGGTGAAGCCATTCGGAAAATGGGTCTGAACAGTAGCATTGTGTATGTAAACCAGGTACGAAGCCTCAGTTGTTGCTGTGTCGGGTGTTTGGTCGTTGAGGGTATCGGGATCCAAAGCACGGTGTTCTGCTGGCCGACCGCAGGTAGTTGGGGTCCCAATTAGTGAATAAGCTACTCATGAATTGCTGCCCCGCCAACTGGTGAAAAATACCAGGGTGACCCTATCGTGCCGATTAGCGACCGGCCGAGAGGACTTGATGGCGATCTCAGGGGGGTTCGGGCGTCCCCGCAGTTCCAAATCAAGCTCCCATGGGCACAGTAACTCTGATAGTACTTATCGTTTGGTTGCCTATGCAACGCCTCGTTCAACTGTCATTCTCCATCCTTATTCACTCTCAACACTTACTATGGACTTTAAAAAGAAAAGTAGTATTAAACAGCGGTTGCACGTCCTTTCACTAAAAGTGTATCTCACTAATATTCGAGGATTGCACTCTAATCTCAGCGCAGTCCATCACCATCTTGAGACTGAGAAGCAGCACCTACTTTCTTGAGAGAGACCCAAATTGGAGGTCCATCGAATGTGGCATACCTTGACTATCGACTATTCAGGATTATCCCTGGAGCACAAATTCCATGCACGTGCTGGAATATTCGTATACGTCCGCAATGACATCTGCTTTCAGCGTCTCTGTCACCTTGAAGACCCCAGTTTTTCGACAATCTGGGTAATGGTAGATACAGGTATTAATAAAATCCTTTATGCTTGTGTCTGTCGATCGCACAGTGGTGACCAGGAGACAACACGATTATTTGATCACCTTAGTGAGGCTACTGATATGGCCCTAAATCGGTATCCTTCTGCACACTTGGTCCTTCTGGGGTCTTTAACGCTAGTCACCAAGACTGGCTGTTTCCATACCAGAATACTGACCATGCTGGAAGAGAAGCGTGGAATTTTGGCCTTTCTTAGATTGTAAAGGTGGCTCCTAGGGTACCCGATGTAGACGGCCACACAGCAAATTGCTTGGACCTTCTGCTGACTACCGAAACAGACAGATATGAAGTACAAGTTACCTCTCCTTTGGGTACATCTGACCACTGTCTGGTGAAATCTGTATCGTCATATTATCCACTTGATTACGAGTCCCAAGGTGTTCGACGAATATGGCGGTATGAGTCGGCTGATTTGGATGAGATGCGACACTTTTTTGCTATACCAGCTGTAGTTCTAAAGGCTTGTGCACCTAAGTTGTCTCTTGCGCTGACACGCTTGTTCCGCCTCTCATTTAAGACTAGAATGGTGCCAAAATCCTGGAAGCTGGCCAATGTGCAGCCTGTTCCAAAAAAAGGCAGCCGTGCCGACCTCATATTACCTCCATACTCTGCAAGATTATGGAGCGTATATTGAACGCCCGTTTAATGGCATACCTAGAACAGAATGACCTCCTTAGTGAACGGCAATATGGATTTCACCGAAATCGGTCAGCTGGGGACATTTTAGCGTATGCCACACATGTATGTGGCGAGGCACTCTAGAACAGTGGGGAAGCACTTGCTGTTTCCCTTGATGTCTGGAAAGCCTTTGACAGAGTTTAGCACACTAGCCTTTTGGGTAAGCTTCCGGCGTACGGCTTATATCCCCTGCTCCCCTGCTCTGACTGAATGGGTGAAGGAATTTCTGAGTGAACGGTCTCTCGGGGTCGTCGTCGATGACTGCTCATCCAATCCTATGGTAACTTACGCCGGTGTTCCTTAAGGGCCCGTTCTCTTTGCAACTCTCTTCCAGCTGCATATTAATGATTTGATTATGCCCGGAATCTATGGTTATGCAGACGATAGCACAGTTGTGAAGAGATATCAAACAAGTCCAGTCGGTATCAAATTCAGTCCGAAAGAGAAGCTATGGTAGAGCGTGTGAATCTCACACTACAGGCAGTCTCCGAATAGGGCGATGCCAAACTTGTGAAATTCACAGAACACAAGCGTATCTCTTCACTGCAAAAAGGAGTCAGCTCACCTTGGCTCCTTCTTTGTAATGTATCACTGGAATACACCGACCGCCTTCAGTTGTTGGGGGTTGAGATATCCTCAAATATAAACTTCGGGCGGTTCATTGAGTCCAATGCCCAAGCAGCTGCAAGGAAGCTGGGTGTCCTTGCAAAGGTGCGTCGATGTTTCACGCCGGGACATCTGCTTACCTACTTTATATAAAGTGCAAGTCCGGTCGTGCAGGGAGTATTGCTGCCATATATGGGCTGGTGCTGCAAAATGCCACCTAGCAGCTTTGAACTCAATGGAAAGGCGTACTAAGGAGCTTATTGGTGACCCAAATTTTGTAAAAACCAATCTTACCAGCCTCAAACACAGACGCAAAGTAGCCAGCATTTCGGTTTTCTACAGGATGCATTTCGGAGAGTGTGCGCAGGAATCGCATAATTTAATTTATCTCTCTCCCTTCCACCATCGGACAATGAACGTACGCTATAAGTTATTACAAAATTACGACTAAAAAAAAACTTAACTATTTTAGATATTGCAACATCAAGAAATATTTCTTTAGGTAGAGGCAGTAAAGTGCCTAATGAAATATGTAAAAAGTATTAGTTATTACTTTATTCCATAAAAACGGAAGCAGGTTTTTAGCAGTCTTCGAAGGAGGAGGTTCTCTATTATAATGTAGTTTTTTGTAAATTTACTTGATATCTTTGTCAATTGTAATGTGATTTTAATGATTTTTTTTATGCCAACAATTGTGTATTTAAGGGTGCTTTCATATTTTTTAATAAAATAAAGGTGATAAACGAGAAAACAATCCACCTGATGTTTAGTATCCAGGTGGGTTGTGGATAGCTCATAGACATTTACAAGACAACTACTATCCTCAATAAAAATCAAAATGCAGATGCGTTGTCAATCCTGAGAATGAAGATGGAATGCCTCACATCCAGCAATAAGGGTCTCAAGTTAATAAAAAATCTACCCTTAACGGAGGAAAATAGGAGATGAACTTTTTAATCTATACATTTTAGATATATATATATATATATATATATATATATATATATATATATATATATATATATATATATATATATATATCTATATATATATATATATATATTTGAGCTTGTAATATTTTTAAGTCCATTCAAAAAGGTGATAACTTTAAACTTTTAATAAAAAGTATATGCGGACTTAGACGAACTAAAAGATAAACAATATGTAATATAAAATTGAATTCATGGCCTTAATCCTACACACTATGTATTAGCATTGGCTATATCGCTTGTCAGATGTCGTAATATTCTGTAAACTTCGCTTAAAAACTTATATATAAGACAGTTCTTACATTCAATTACTCATTTGTCTGAACGACTTCCTAACTAAATATTAAAATGTTGATGGTAAAGTTATTCTTCTTATGTGCTATAAATATATGCATAGATGCAGCAAAAATTTTGGCAATATATCCATGTCCATCAATAAGTCATCAAGTAGTATTTCGGCCTATAACAATGGAGTTAATTAAGCGAGGACATGAAGTGACAGTGCTAACTACAGATCCTTATTTTAAAAATGACACTGCTCCTAAAAATTTAAGAGAAATTGACGTCCATGATATATCTTACAAGTCTGTAAAGGATTTTATACCTGCTATTACCGGAAGTGAGGATGATTTGATAAATCAAGTTTTAGTCATGGCTACAATGATTCCCAGAACATTTGAAGAACAAATGAAGGTAAAGGAAGTACAAGACCTTATTAACCATAAAACACGACAGTTCGACTTAATACTTTTGGAAGCATTTTTCATACAAGTGCTGGGATTTACACACATTTTTAAAGCACCGGCAATTTTAGTAAGCTCTTTTGGACCATTCATCGGAACTTATGAAATAATGGGAGCACCAACCCATCCTACGCTATACCACAACTTGTTTCGTCAAAAATTATATAACTTGAATTTATGGGAAAAAGTGACCGAACTGTACAATTACTTTCGAGTTCGATACATTTTAAGTTCCGCCGAGGAAAATTACAACAGACAGATTAAAAGCATTTTTGGTCCTAATACTCCACCTCTAAGCGTTTTAAAAAATAATGTTGACATGTTATTGTTAAATGTTAATCCGATTTGGGAAGGAAATTATCCAGTGCCACCAAATGTCATACATATGGGAGGATTACACCAAAAACCTCCAAAGGAATTACCAAAGGTAAGTTTTTTCTTATACGTTTTTTGTTGATCCTTGTCTTTGTTTGAAAACACAAGTTAAGGACCATTTTATGTATGTGTAACCTGTTTTCCTGCTATCATTCACTATCACTGATCGACAGATCAGTGATCGTTAATGAATGGAGGAAAATATGTTGTATTTTTAGTACACAACTGTTATCATTTGTTACCCGTTAATCTTTCTTCTGTATTTATTTAAGATTTCTTTGTGTTGTCTGAAAGAATTACTATGTATAATAAGACTATAGTATATTAATAAGATCGCTGTTTATTTTTGTTATATATATTCTCTTTGTACAATAAAGAGTTACTCTGCCACTCTACCTACACCTCAAAGCGTTTTATAGAATAATGTAGATAAAAGTAAAGTTACAGCCTATATACGTCCCATTGTTGGGTACAGACCTCCTCACATTTCTGAGAGGTTCAAGTTCATTTCCAATATGTTTTTTAGGTGACTCGTTTGAAAGTACATTATGTATGTATAATATTAAAGTGCGTACCCATATATTATTGTAATGATGTTTACTATATTTTGACGACTTTTCGAGTAATATTGTAACTTTTATGTGCCACAGGGTAAATTTGAGTTTTGTTGTGAGAATTACAATAGCGGAATATTATTATATTCCGCTATTGTAATATATACTATTGTATATATTGTGTTTTATTAGTTTGATATAAATTGAAATTGAAAGAAATCACATAAATTGCTAAGCTAGGCCATGGTGTAAAGACTCTGGAATTAACTTTCTCCTCCGATTCGAGAAATGACAACAGTGACATTGTTCTAAAAACGAGTGAACGAACATTATTTATACAGAGGGAACCAAAATCAGGAAATGGGCAGCAGCTTCTTCGTGTGTTCTTAGTGTGTGTGTTGTATATTATGTATATTTATGTATACCTTATATAATAATAAAGTGCACACCTTATTATCATATATTTATTTTGTATGTTTGTAACTGGTCTACTGGAAGAAATGTCATTATGACATAAGTAGCACCCTTGTACAAACTCTTTATCATAAATATATACTCATACTCATACTCTCCATTGTTTGCGTGTACATAAATTGCTAAATAAATAAAAAAAAATTTCAAGAAATTCCAAAATATCAATCAATTTCAAAAATTTTGAATTTAGAAAATGTTTTAATTTTTAAGTTTATATAGAAAGATGTAATCCTTGAGATTGTATTTCTAAAACTTAGTAAAATTCGTTCGTTTAAATCGAAACAGAAACAGAAACATTTTTATTCAAAATAGATTATAAATATAATACTTATTTATAATCTCAACTCACTCTTTTGTTTAATTTATCACTGTTTAGGAAAAAACCCTCGGTCCTAGGAAGAACCAGCAAAAAACCCAGCGAGATTTTTTTTTAAATAACAGCTTACAATCACGTATGTTACACAATTAACAACACAAAACATATTAGAAATGGTTTGGTAGCGATCACGTCACTCCCTGACCAAGAGCGAATCTTTAGGTTATAAATCATAGATTGCTCTTATGGCCCTCTTCTGTAAAAAATATAAATTTAGTGTCAGTCGCCTGTTCCCATAGCAAAATACCATACGAAATTATGCTATGGAAATAGCTAAAGTAAACTAATCTAACTGTTTCAAACAGGTAAGATTTCATATTTTCTGCAGGACCAATGTACGCCAGATTTAAACAAACGTATTACTTTACTATGCTTCATTAAATCAGGAAACACGCCAGTTTCTATACTAGTTTAAAAAATAATAGTTGAGGTGCGAATTTTGGTGGGGGATTTCCGTAAAAGTTACTGCCTCTATAAAAGATGCTATTATACATGCAATAACTTTAACGAAAATCCCCCACAGATCTGCTGTTTTCTTGATATAAGTTTTAAAATATTTTACATTTATTACATGTTATACCTAGTCAGGTCATAAGTATTGTCACACAGTAAAAACTTTTCTTTTAGAATGCTGGCTACAAAAAAGTTTATTGAATTCGAATTTCGAATTGTTCATGAAAATAAAACTGTATACTTTTTAGAATTTTACTCATTTTTAAATATGGAGTGGACGCTTAAAGAAGACCGTGTTGCAGTTATTGCGTTGCATCGTTGCGGTTACGCACTAATTCAAATTTTTGACATACTGAAAAATTTGAATATAACCAAAAGATTCGTTTATCGTACCATCAAACGATACAAGGAAGACTCTAGTGTAGATGACAGGTCAAGAAGTGGTCGCCCTCGGTCTGTTAGGACTCCAGCAGTGATAAAAGCTGTGAAGGTGCGAATTCAAAGAAATCCCAAACGTAAGCAGAAACTGTTGGCTCTTCAGATGGGGTTAAGCAGAACCACGGTGAAAAGGGTGTTAAATGAAGACTTAGGGCTTCAGGCATGCTCGTCTAATGGACCTGAGACTGAAGAGATGCCGCGCTTTGTTGAAGCGGTACGCGGGAAAAAAATATCGGGAAATTATTTTTTCGGATGAAAAATTTTTTACCGTAGAAGAGAGCTACAACAAACAAAATGATAAGGTGTACGCACAAAGTAGTGAAGAAGCGAGCAACCGTATTTCGCGTGTCCAACGAGGTCATTTTCCATCCTCGCTCATGGTATGGTTGGGAGTTTTTATTGTGGCTTAACAGAGGTACATTTTTGTGAGAAAGGTGTAAAAACGAATGCAGTTGTGTATCAAAATACAGTCCTGACGAACCTTGTGGAACCTGTTTCTCATACCATGTTCAGTAACAGGCACTGGGTATTCCAACAAGATTCGGTGCCAGCTCATAGAGCGAAGAGCACACAAGACTGGCTGGCGGCGCGTGAAATCGACTTCATCCGGCACGAAGACTGGCCCTCCTCCAGCCCAGGTTTGAATCCGTTAGATTACAAGATATGGCAACACTTGGAGGAAAAGGCGTGCTCAAAGCCTCATCCCAATTTGGGGTCACTCAAGACATCCTTGATTAAGGCAGACATGGACCTCGTTCGTGCTGCGATAGACGACTGGCCGCGCAGATTGAAGGCCTGTATTTAAAATCACGGAGGTCATTTTGAATAAACTTTAGTGTCATAAGAATCTATGTTTTGTTAAGTTCATTTTGGTATATAAATGTTTACATAATGAATAAACTTGTTTCAATTATTTTATATTAAACATGTGACAGAATTTATGACGTGACTAGGTATATTTTGATGATACTTTATAAAATGTGAAATTATTTGTACAATCATTTATATTTTGTTTAAGTAATGATTTGGCGACGGCAGGAGAAGAATATGTAACTTGATAAAATTGGTGTAAAAAGTGGTTAAAATTGGAATATACGTAAAATGTTTCTCAAAAACCATTGCAACGTCCTGATCTGATTCAGTAACTTGTTTATTAATACTTAACTGGCAGTTTTAATTGCGAGAGTTGATTTTACCAGTTTCGCTATTAATTATACTCCATGTCATTTTAATTTTATTAGAAGCTGTCTTAATTGTGTTGCTCAAATGCATAGACATGGCTTACGTAGCACACTGTTTTCAATATTTTTAAATTTTGACTGCATTTTAATACTTGACCTTTAATAGTAAAGTTCATATTATAACCTTTGTCTGCTCCTATGGACACCTATTGTCGCCCATTCATTGAATGCATTGCGACTGTTCAAGGAGAATGTTTAAGAAGTAAAAGTATTATCAAATTCTTTGCAAATAAGCGTAAATAATGTTCCATAGAGGAAAAACTGGATTACTACGGTATGAAAGTTTTTTTTAATAGGATAGGGGTGACAAACGAGCACACAGTCCACCTGATGGTAAGTGGTTGCTGTGGCCCATAGATATCTATGTACATCTATCCTCGATTACAAATCAAAATGCAAATGCATTGTCACCCGCGACGACTAAGATGGAAGTGATAGAATTTTTGTCAATATGTTACTTCTAAACTTCTTCAAACGATGTGAATTTACTGGAACAAACAAAATTGATGAAATTGATAAACGTGGCCTATATACTTTTATTTCTTATAATATTAGTCGACCAAAAATTTATTACTTATATCTGATGTAAAACACCGCAAGATTTTTTACGTTAAATATGGTAATATTTATACATGTTTCTATTAATCTAAGCCATTTCTAAGAATTGGGTTAGTAAGGCAATATAATTTTATATAAAAGTACTTTAAAATTTCCCAAATTAAGATTTTATTTAAATTGATATAACGTTTAAATTTTTGTCCTGAACCTGAAATGATGTGTATTGCAGGATCTTCAGCAATATCTGGATTCTTCAAAAAACGGTGTCATTTACTTCAGTTTTGGAACCAACGTTGTACCATCATCTTTATCTCAAGAAAAAATGAAAATATTTGAAGACGTTTTCTCACAACTCCCATATAATATAATATGGAAATGGGATAGTGATAAAAAAACCGTAAAATCAAAAAATATAAAAATATATAAATGGCTACCACAATCAGATCTTTTGAGTGAGTAGTTTAAATTAACCTTTGACGATAATTATTATAATGAAAAAATAAACATGGAAGAAATTCGAAAATCGTAATACAATTACACTTTACTTTTCAGGACATCCAAATGTGAAATTATTTATAACTCAAGGAGGTTTACAATCGACAGATGAGTCAATTACTGCTGGTGTACCACTTATAGGCATACCAATGTTAGGAGATCAGTGGTATAATGTAGAAAAATATGTCCATCATAAAATTGGTGTTAAGCTTATCTTGGAAAACCTTACTGAAAATCAATTGAAAAATGCAATTATAGAAGTAATTCAAGATAAAAGGTAACTTTACTATAGTTAATATTAAATTTTTTAACAATAACATACCTTCTACAATCAAAAGTAGTTTTGATGTTAAAATACGAGTATAAGTACCTATATCTCCCAATCATGGCCATAAATATCATTTCTAAAAATGTTCCTTCCTCAACTATTCATTGGACTTCAAATGTTCTCATACTTTTTTTATATATGCGGGGGCAAACGAGCATGCAGCTCACCTGATGGTAAGTGACTACCGCCACCCATGAACAACTGCAACACCAGGGAAATCGCAGATGCGTTGAAGGTCTTTTAAAAATAGCTAGGCTCTTTTTCTAAAAATCACTAAGTCTTATCTGTCCGGGAAAATTATCGGTGGTAGTCGATTCCATAATAAAGTTGCGCGAGGAAGGAAACTATTTTATTTTTTTCTGATATATTCACCGCCGCACATTTGATAAATTAGTACCAATTAACAATTTAACGGAAATTAACAATTTATGACTTCAATATGTTCTTGATAAAATTGGTGTAAAAAGTAGCTTACATCCAAATTATTTCACCATATTAAAGAAACAAACAATCTAAAGGGTTCACATTATCGTAATTAGATGCTATAGCCCATGAATGATGCATTGCTACCACGAGGACGCATTGATTAGATAAAACACAATTTGTAATTTTTTTTAACTTATAAATAGCCAGTGGTTTACTACAATCCTATACCTTCTGGTAAGTGGTGATGAAGTCCTAAACGATAAATCGCACTGTCTTAGCGTTACAAAAGTCTATTCACACTTGCCTTGAAGACACTAAGATTGTTACCGTATACGAATTATACTGTCTCTCTTATTCTTCCAGCCAAAATACAGTGGTAGGTACACTGGATATTAAGTGGATAAATAGGTAATAAATTTGTACCACTCCTAAAGGGCTCTTGGGTATAAATTGAGCCCTACCACCTTTTGGGTTAACTCATAGAGAGCTCTAAACGTAGAAAACATGTAATGTTGGATTAATACTGACTAAAATCCCGACTCCCCGATCCCAAAGGCCCCATTTGTGGTAGGCTATCAATAGTTACAATCAAAGATGAACATTAAGAGGAAGCCCTGCGCTCTTAAACTAACTTTACACATATGGCCCCAACTTAACTGTCCCCACTTTTTTTCGCGATTTCAATGGTATACCGGGAAGAGCATGCTAACCACCCAATCGAGTAATGTGCGATCTAGAAATCATCACCAGGGCATTCATTGCCGGAGTTTGCACAACACTATTCGGTATGAACATACCTATGGAAGGATAAAAGGTTAATACTGAAACTTGTGGGCACTTGTAGGCACACCAATGTGTTATCACTTGATGGTTATGATTAAATACTTCATAAAATATAATTCTATTGACTTTCAAGAGCCAAACCAGGTCTAAAAGATTTGACAAAATTGACGTTCTGATTCTTAGTTATACTACTGGTAGGACAGTTAGTACCCAAGCACAATCCTAAGAAACACAGGACATTAAACTACCACGTAAGCATTTTTTTAAGCCTACCTATATTTCAGGTACCGTGAAAACATCGCACGACTTCGCTCTTTAATGCAAGATCAACCGCAGAAGCCGCTTGATCGTGCTTTATGGTGGATAGAATACGTACTTCGACACGGCGGAGCCAAACACTTGCGAGCACCAGCTGCAAATATCTCATGGACTGAATACTATGAATTAGAGCTTGTTTCAATACTTCTATGTAGTATAATGATATTTATATTATTAATAACTTTTCTTGTTAGATATTCAATGTCGTATGCTTCCAAATATGTAAAAAAGAAGCAAATGTAGTAACTTTTGGTGTGTATAAAGATTTTTTAGTTTCTTATTTATAAACTAGGATTTAATATGTTAATTGGTATGATAAAATACCCTCATTTTCACAGCTCGATAGGTTGGCGAACCACCACATTCGACAGGTTTGAATCACGGGTCGGGTCTAAATTAGTTTTTGGGTTTTTTTTGTCAAGAAATTATCAGTAGCAGCTCTGAGTCAGGAAAATGACCATATGTTTACCTAACTAAAGCCTGTGGTCTTGCGACCGATCTCAATCCGCTCGAGTCGGATTGCCATACCATAGGGCTATGAGAGTGAGAGAATAGAGAGTGCACAGTATGCTTTCACATATACTCGTGCACTATAATTTTGTCCTGCGTTGATAGCTATACTGATAGATAGATAAACTGAACATTAGATTTTTTATTAGTAACACATAATAATAGATTATTGGGGATATAATTCCAAATTCTGTTATCTACTGTAAAAGTTCATTTTATTTATAGAAGAGGGGGCAAACATGCATGCGGCTCACCAGATGGTAAGTGACTATCGCCGCCCATGAACAACCGCAACACCAGGGGAATTAATCATCTTAAGGAACGTTGCAAAGCTGTGAAATATTTGTATTTAAACAAATATTGAGTTCACCAACGATGTTTTGAACACAAGACTATTATGTCCATCCCTCATGACTATTATGTTTACAAACTAGAGCTAATACTATAGTTTGTAACCATACTAGTACTTTGGTTTTGCTTTCCAGAAAAGCGCTTTAAAGATTTATATATAGATTATATTATTCTATATAGGTTTTATCCATGAGAAAATATAATTGTTTTTGAATACCGAGAGAAGCCCGGTTGTCAAGGTAGAGTAGCTAAAACTTCGCAGCGTATTGTAGCAATTTTTGATAACTTATCAGTCGTGAGACGCCGCTATTGATTAGTAATGGGCTAGTGTAGTAATTTTAATATTTCACCCCTGCTTGAAAATATTTATTTTATTATATTTAAAATTACTTCTAAACATAATATACAATATTTAATTATATACAATATTAAAAATTATTATCATAAAAACAAAAACTAAAACTAGAAACTTAATTATCATTTAGTCCTACTCCCCGCGGTATCGTGCCAAGAACGCTGGCTGTGTTTAAAATAAAAAAATTAAAATATATTCAATTAAAAATAAACTTTAATATACTAGTATTATTATAATATTTTATAGAAATAAGTGTAACAAGCGCACACACAGTCCACCTGATAGTAAGAGGTGTAAAAAGGATCTTGTGGTAGAAAATCTGTGTTAATTCTCAAACCTTGTTCGTGGTAACCGTGTAAGAGGTTACGAGATTCCACCCGTGAATATTTTATTTATTCGTACATATTTAAATAAAACAAATTCCGAATATTTGAGATTTTGAGAAAGATTTTGAGAAAGATTTTGAGAAAGCAAGAATATCGTGGTAGTTCTTCATTAGGATTTTGCAGCAAGCGCTCCCGTAGAGAATGCATTGTGCAAATTAATCGAGTAGAGCTTAAACTACTTATAGATTAGAGCGCGCTGAGACCTATCAATAATCTTAGGAGTAAAGCTATCTTGCTCAACTACTGCATTGACTCCTTAAAAGATTTAGTATCTTAAGAATTTGGATACTGAGATTAAAATGATTCTTAATTATATCAAATTACCCTCAGAACTCGCGGCATAAATAATTAAGAGTGGTACCTACTCAGGCGGACTCCTATGCGGAAAAAAATTATTTCATTTAAATTTGATGAAGAAAATTAAATAGTGACGATAATTTTTACAAGAAAAAAAAAACAAAAAACTGATCGACTTTCATTAATATCTTTTAAACGGTGTTGTGTTTAATAACAAAAATCCACCTTAGAATATATGGAATCGTATTTAATACTATAAATCCCAACCTATTGCTTACATTTCTATGAAGCGAGGCGAATCACCGACGCACAGACCAGCGGACGGCAGTCCACTAATTTTTTCAATTACTTTTTTTGTTATGTAATATAAAGTAAATCAATTAGAAAACAAACTTATAATTCAATGTCTGGAGTTATTGTAACATTAATAATAATATAGACTTGATTTCTAGCTAAAAGTATCAGAACGATTTAATGTATTGAAATTGTGGTATGGCCACATATTGATAGTAGAGTACTCACTCACGTTATGAGGCGTGTAATTACCGCCTAGTAAATCTTCGTTTACTGTATAAATAAAATTTCACCTTAGTTATCAGTAGGGAAAATGGCTATAAAAAGAAGGTGAATCTTAATCTAGAGTGTTTAAAGATGTGTTACAAAATTTTATAATAATTGGAAATTTATATTACCTAATTTAATGATTATATGTTTCGTTTTTATATGTGTTTTTATACTATTTTTATTTAAAACCATAAAATATATTTGAAATAAAGACACATGTAATCAATGAATTATATATCGTATTAACCAAACACTAGGTATGATTACAAAAATGTATTTATCTTTTCGCGTGCAATCTGTGTGATTATTTTAGTCATTAAAATTGTGCTTTATCATTCAGGAAGTGTTTTAGAAAAAATAATGATATGTTATTATTTTAATATGATTCGACTTTAATATTTAATTTTGACCTTTGAAATTCTGACAACGGATTTCTTCTCATTCTGTAATACTTCAACTTTATTTAAATATTTGAAATAATCTTTTGCACACTATTTTCGTTTTTATCAGAGAAAGGCGAGTTTTGAACCAAAAATCTCTTAAAATTTAAAGTGGTGAACGTGGAAGTAGAAAGTACCTATTTACTTTATAAAATATTTAACTAGTGAGAAAAAGTTTACCGTTTCATGTCCCCCTGTCGCCTCATAGGTCACCCATGGGATGATTTATTTATAGAATAGGATTAAAAAACTAGCACTCAGTCGACCTGATCGTACGTGATGTTGTAACCAATAGACGACACCTTCATCTCTTTTCGATTAAGAATCAAAATTAAGATGTGCCACCCCCTAAAAGTCTCTCTACACTCGCCATATGAAGCAAAGCAACATTGAGGTGCTATTTTACGCTGATATTGTGTGAGAGCGTTGTCGTTCCATGGATTATAATACTCGTATAACTGCAAAATGGCTCTACGACGTAGAAAAATGGGAAAGTACACGCCCTCACACTACTACGGAAAAGTATTGGTACGACCCATAAATCATTTCTCTGTGTGTGGCTGTTTCAATTGGTGCAAAAAAAATTATTAAAAATAACGGTGATACTCTTCTTGGTGTAATGTTCACAATTTTAAAACCAGTTACCAATCTCTGTCACAAAATAGCCATGTTTGTACCCTTGTATATCAGACTGACGGGTGAAGAGCCTGCATTATTATAAACTGTAGATAATACCATCTTAATCCTTAGAAATGACATAACATCTGTAGCATTTTTTCTAATTCCTTTACAACATTGTAAAAGATGTCGGTCATGATAGCTAAATATTTAACAGGTTATACTTAAAATTATTGCATGTTACGATACCGTAATAAGCCAATTGCTGGGCGGCATATGTTTTTCAGTTCATCGCGGTGTTTTGTGATTTTTTGTTTTGACTTGATTTTGCCACCAACAAAAATAATATTGTGAAAATCGTTTATTTTGTCCATAAATATAGTATTTGTAAATAACTTGACTACAGTCTTTACAACATCACCTCGACAAAACAAATACATTGAGTACATATTGTATAAATATTCCCTCGTGTACTGGCGGGTAAAAATATCCACTACCCCATATCTACCCGTGGGTGTCGTAAGAGGCGACAGAGGGAAACTAAGGCAGAAGATGGATAGCAGCATCTTTCTGATAACAGCAAAACAATAATAAAAAACTGCGGTTGCCAACCCGTTAGCTAAGCGTGGCTGCTATGGCAATATACCCCCTTGAATAAAGTTACGAAGAGACGCACCCGCCATTCCTGGCTACGATGGCGACCATGGTAACAGCGGGGCAGGGGTGCTAAGAATCTCCGGTGGAGGTTCGGTCGACACCTAAGGCGACTCGACCTTGCAACATATAACGCACGCACTCTGAGGACTGACGAGAAGATCCTGGAAATGGAAGAAGAGATAGACAAGTTGCACTGGAATATTATAGGATTATCCGAGATCCGCAGAGAGGGGAAGTTAATGGTAATCTTCGAATCCGGCAACTTGTTTTATCAGCTGATGGCGACTATCTGTCACAAAGAGGTGTCAGTTTTATCGTCCACAAGTGTCTCGTTAACAACGTTGTAATAATTGAGAGTGTGTCGACGAGGGTTGCGTACCTTATACTCAGAATCAGCAAGCGGTATTCGCTGAAGGTGAATGACAAGCTCTTGGAAACTGTCCATGCCGTCGGAGCTAAGTTTTGCAAGACCCTCCGCAGAATAACACAAAAACTCTCCAATCACACTCTTTATATATCATGCTATGCTTTTCTAAGCTTTTTTTTTTAAATATTTTGACAATAATCATCTATGGACTGTTATTATTACCTTGCAAAAAAAAAATCTTAAACTTATATTAATACATTATTTACCCATTGTTATGTATTTAAATTACGTATGTAAAGTACTATCTTATTAGATGAGTAAGAATTTGAGCAATAATTTACCCAAAAATAATATTAATATTTATAATAAAATAGGTGAAGTTAATATTAGTGCTTTACGGTGTTTTGTGATTGTTTGATTTGACATGGCTTTGGCACTAAACCAACATAATATTGTGAAAATCAGTCATTTTGCCCATAACTATAGTACTTGTAAATAACACGTGTTGTTTTATACGTAGTAGAGTCATGCTGCAGCTGTATGCAGCAGTTGAACCACAAATGGATCGGCTAGACCGAGGAAGGACCACACTCTCACAGAATAGCGGCGTAAAATAGCAGATTACTACTGATATTTTTCGTATGATGAGCGTACAGAACCGGAAACCCCTTTTTACTGGAAACAAGCCATTTCGACTT